CTGGATGGACTCAACTGCTTTGAGAACTATCTGCCGCTGGAAGTCTAATCCCAGATTATATTTAGATTGTTATACCAAGAAAAAGAAAAAGAAAAAAAATAGTGTATCGAAGTAAATGTTAATATGATAAACTACAATTCTATCAAAAAAATGAAAAAATACAAAGAGTATCGATGTAAATGTTAATATTATACTCACGTGTCACTCTTTGCTCTCGTGTAAACTTGTTAAGAATTCGTTATTAACGAATTCTTATCGTGTGATCCGATAAAGACACGATTAATTATCGTATTGATTCGAAATTCGTTACTTTCATATCATTTAGTATCGTGTTAACAAAACGTGTAACACATTTCCTGGTCTAATTTTGATACCACCATCATTTGACGGTAATATATGCTGTAACGACTTCTAATGAACATGTGACTACGGGATGATAGTAATGTGTACTTGTAAGTACTGTAGCTTGTGCCGCAATTTCGGTTAGAAACAAAAACGCTCATACAAACATACATAAGCATTCATTCACAATGAAATATGTATCTAAGAAAGCGACTTATGGTAAAAATAAAAATAATAAAATAAAAGAAAAAAAAGTGAGTAGCTGCGAGTATCAAGCAAGCAGAGGAGAAAGAGATGAAAAGATGGAGAGATTAACAGGGGATTTGAGAAGTGAACCATTCCATCACATGAATTGGAGCTTTCACCAACTGCAGAGCCAGCTCCACCATCACCGTCACGCACAAGCAGCACGGGCATATGCACGTCAGCAACAACCTGCCACCCACCACCGCCACCACGACGGCACCGCCCACCACAAGCAATAAATCAGATCACAAATTCAAAATTCAAAGCACCAAACAATCAGTCAATCACAATTTGAGATACAAAGATGAGATGAGGTGATCGATCGAATTGCAAATTGAAAATTTCAGAGAGAAATCAATGAATTGGAGAGAGGAAGAATAGAAGGAATCATATTTATACCCGACGATCCAGATGACGATGCCGACGATGGAGATGAGGAGGGAGAGAAGGGCGAACGGAAGGCCCAGTAGAAAGCCCAAAGGCCTGCAATCACCCTCTGAAGAGCACATTTTCGAATTTCTCTGTCTCACTTCGTCCGCTTGATTTCTCCGATTTTGCTGCTTCTGCTTCCTTCAACAACTGCTTCTGCTTCTGCTTCCTTCCACTACTGTTTCTGCTTCACCCTCACGCACTTCAAAGTGGCAGACAGAGAGAGAGAGGGAGAGGATAATGGACAAAGACTGAAAGACTTCGATTCCGTAAGGATAATGGACAAAAGACTTCGATTCCCTAGTTGGCGACTCACGGCACGTGGCGTTTTACCGGGAATCCGAATTTTCCATTGATTTTTTTATCGATAATAACCAAAATTTACTACCAAATTTCATAAATACTACTTTTTAGAAAATCTTTTAAAAAGAACAGAAAATCCACTTAAATAGACTTAAATACCCTCAAAATTAAAACTAAATAAACATAAACTAAAGAATTCTGGGTTAACCAAGAACCAAGGACCATAAGCAATAAGATCTGCACAACCCTCATCCATATCATTGTTCCCAACCTCCTTGTCGTACCCACCACCAACAAAAGTTGTTGCCAACAATGAAGGTACCATTAAAAGCCCTTCTCATGGGTATAAGATCGTGAGAACAATCACTCTTTTTCTCTCACTGTCTTCATCCTTGGCTCAACCATATGGAAGTACATGATCCATATTTGTTTAATGAATTGACCAGATAAAGTCCTAACGTTTTCGAAGCGGCGTCCCGAGCAACCGAGCTTCAATGCTAGTAGTAATAATGGGGATCAATCTTGTGGCAGGAGGTAAGAGTAAGAAGATGAAGCGTTGTCCGATGATATCTATCTCAAGCTTCTCGCCCATTTGTATCGTTTTCTTGTCCGGAGGACTAGAAGCAAGTTGAATGATGTTGTTCTTAAATGTTTGTTCATGAGCAAAGTCAACAAAGCACCACTTTCTCTCTCGAGGTTGATTAAGTACATGCAAGGAAAGGATAACAAGAATCCTGTGGTTGTGGGGATTGTCACTGACGACATTAGGGTTTATGAAGTTTCACAATTGAAGGTTACAACAATGATGACCTAAGAATTCTCGGGAAGCAGTGAAGCACTTCTATGTAGGTGGTTTTGGATTTTAAGGGTATTTAGGTCTTTTCATGTGAGTTTTCTGTTATATTTAAAAGTTTTTATAAAAAGTGATATTCATGAAATTGAGTGTTAAATTTTGACTATTAATGATAAATACTCCCCGCTTTCCTTTGGCGTCTCTCTAATTATAATATTTACTTTTTACAATTTTTCCTTATACCAAATATTTGAACAAAATTTACAAATCAAATGATGTGTTACCAATAAAAAATAAGCACGTTAATCACTCGACTAATAATCTAATCATCAATAACTACATCATTTGATTTATAAAATTTAATTTAGAAATTTGATCTCCTTAACACTACCTTTACAAATTAAGATTAACGAGAATTTTAAAATACTTTTGAAATAATGAATTTGATGACATTTGTAAAATCCAACAACTTTTATATGGAAAGCGGAGAATTCTTATAAATTTTGTTGGCTTAATAGGATTAATAGTTGTCACATCCCGGCCCGGGACGCACCACTTCCCGGGCCCGCTCCACCACCGTAGCACGATATTGTCCGCTTTGGGCCCCCACCACGCCCTCATGGTTTTGTTTTTGGGAACTCACACGAGAACTTCCCGATGGGTCACTTATCCTGGGAATGCTCTCGCGCGCTACTCGCTTAACTTTGGAGTTCCCATGGAACCCGAAGCCAGTGAGCTCCCAAAAGGCCTCGTGCTAGGTAGGGATAGGAATATACATATAAGGATCACCCCTGGACGATGTGGGATGTCACAATAGTCCTGTGATGATAAGGTAGTCAAAAAATTGCCCCTATGGTAAAAAAATTAGGATGTAAGTCTCTCTAGTAAAGTTTATTGAGATTTAGGCCCAAAATTTGAAAGTTTTGCTAACTCTCCGTTAATTGTTAGCATATAAGGCTCGCATGTGAGACTAAAAAGATAGTTAATTTCACATGTAAACTTTACGTGCTAATAATTAACAGAAAGTTTGTTTTGTCCTAATTTTTTCACTACATAGGCTATCTTTAACTATCCTATTACTAAGGAGACTAATGATCCAACGAGTCCAATTTTGTTTGTAGATTTTGAAGGATTTTCAAACACTTTCTATTCTTAACTCAAGAAATCTAAACAGTTAATACTGTGCCACATTTATAATGATTTTTCTTTTTCTCCAGCCCGTTCATCTCAACTATTCGCAACATTCTTCGTCGCTGTGTACTTGGCACTGCCTTCGCTCGTCAATGTCATATTTTGTCCACCCTCTGCTCATCAGCTCCTCTACTAAATCTCATAGTTTTACGGTATGAAATAAATAATAAACAATCAAATAACAAATAAGAGAAGGAAAGCAAGAACAAAACTCATGATAGAAGGAAGAGAAATAATCAGTGGCGAAGTCCGAAATTCAGGTTAAAAGGGCCTTTAAGTCGTATGAAAGAAATTAGACAAAATATTGCAATATGATTAACATGAGAAAAATTAAAAGTTCAAATTTTAATCAAACAAGAGTGGTAAAGCTTTAAATTTTGTATGAAAAATTCAATATTAAGCTGATTATAACATAAGAACAAAATTTGTTTACGAGTTTTGATACAAAATAAATAAATTAAAACATTTAGAAACAGACAAAAATTTAATGTCATGACTTAAAACTATTATCATGAGATTTTCTGGTTGATTATGGCTCAGAGACCGAAAAGAACCCAATTAAACCGAGGTTCGATTTTGATTTTAGAGGACCCGAAACCAAATAATACATAAATGAATACTTATTTATTTTATTTTCAAACTAATTTACAAATTTATTAAAAAATAAGAAAAATGAATTGAACTAAACCACACAAAAAAAAACCCGAAGAAAAGCGAAATCAAATAGTAATTTCAATTTGATTTTTAATTTTAAAAAAAAACCGAACTGAATAAAATCGAAGCCATCCCCTAGCATAAACAAAATTTACCAAATAATAAAGCCTTTTGGAAGAGCATTGTATTTGGGCTCAAATCTGGCCTCAAACAAAGAACTTGGAAGTTGACACTCTCCTCAACCACAACCACCACCAGGCAAACGGCAGCAATGAGCGCATCATCGGGGCATATAATAAACCCGGCCGGAGACTGTCATCATCACCAAATCACATTTTACAATTGCCGAAACTGAATTACACGCGCCTTCTTGTCGCGTGGGGAATCACTTCCAATTATTCCACAAAGCAAGTCCCCCGCCACATAATCCCCCAATAAACTCAAGCTCAACGTGATGCTCACGCCCTACTCTCCCGCTCTCCCATTGGTCCGTTGCATGTCACTCCCTCGTATGTCGCGTGAGTCAAACCCCCCACCCGTGCTATGATACTTTCCGGTCACTACTCTTTTGGTGCTCCCACACGTTTCGTCACCCACCGCTCCCTCACGAACCCCTCCCTCGCCGTACACTTGTAAGATAAGGATACAGAGAGAGAGTGGGAGACGGAAGAGAGAGAAACTGTGAGACTGTGAAACGTTTTAGAGAGAGAAAGCGAAGGAGCGAGATCTGATCGGAGAGAAAGGCTAACGAAGCTCGAAGCTCTACCCATATGGTTGTCGATGTTGTAACTTGTAAGCCCTAACTCTCTCTCACTGGTTTGTTGTAAGGAAGCCCTAATTTGATTTTCTTGATTTATGTGTGAGATTTGGGCGGAAAATTGGGTTTTGGTGATCTCTGTTTTGGTTGGGCGATTAGGGGAAAGAAACCCTAGGATTTTGTGAATTGTTTGTGAGATTTGGGGGGAGAATTAGGGTTTTGTTAATATTTCTTTTGTTTGGGCGGATAGCGGTAAAAAACCCTAAGCATCTTGGATCTTTGTGAAAGGGAAAAACGGGAATTAGGGTTTTGGGAGGTACATGTATGGCTTCGGGGCCTACAGTAGGAGAAGGTGATGGAGCCAGAGAGAAACAGAGGTTCACGGAGAGCAAGGTCTATACTCGAAAAGCTTTCAAAGGCCTCAAGAAGAACAACATCGTCAACACCACCGCCAACACCGACGCAAACACAAATACCAACGCAACCGCCACAACCACCACCGCCTTAGCTGCCCCCTCCGCCCCCGCCCCCGCCCCTGCCTCTGCCGCTATCCCAACCACCACCAGCGGCAACATCAACGGGATCGACAACAGTATCAACGGGAAGGACAGCAGCATTAGTGAGAAGAACAACAGCATCAACGAGAACGAGAAGGACAACAACATCAAAGAGAACCAGAAGGACAGCAACCACAACCAGAAACAGAAGGACAACAGCAACAACGAAAACGAGAAGGACAGAAAGAGTCAGAACAAGGATAACGGGAATGATGAGAATTCCACTCGGCCTCCGGCTCAGACTATTCTGTCTGAGGATGGAAATTCCACTCAGCCGCTCATTTCACAGTCTGGTGCTGCTGCCTCTGATGACTCCTTGAGCCTGAACCGGCAAGAACCTGCGGCGACAGCAGCAGAGGCAGTGGTTGAGGCAACTATTGAGCGGGAAAGTCGGAATTCACCTGAAGAGAATGGGGTGGTCAAGCCGGCTTTGGATAGCCGAACTAAGATTAATTTGGCTTCAAGGTCGAAGCAGGAGAAGCGGGAGCTTCGAAGGAAGCTTGAGAGTGAGCTCGATTTGGTGCGGAGTTTGGTGAAGAGAATTGAGGCTAAACAGGGGCAGATTGGTGGGTTTAGTCACTCCCATGTTTCAGTGAATGATGGGGCGAATAGTGCAGGTGGAGGGCTGAGGCTGGTTCACTCTGAGGTTGCTTCTGTAGGTGTTCCTCGAGAGGCTACCAGGCCTTTGCATCAGCTGAGTATATCCGTGTTGGAGAATAGTCAGGGAATGAGTGATATTGTGGAGAAAGAGAAGAGAACCCCAAGGCGAACCAGTTCTATCGTAATTCTGAGTTTTTGCTTGCCAAGGATAAGATTCCACCTGCTGAGAGTAACAAGAAGTCGAAATCGAATGGGAAGAGACATGGTGGAGGAGAATTGTGGCAAGGGTTCGGTGGGATGGGAAGCAAGTTTTTCAAGAGTTGCAGTTCTTTGCTTGAGAAATTGATGAAGCACAAGCATGGTTGGGTGTTTAATGAACCTGTTGATGCTGCCAAGCTTGGTTTGCACGATTATCATATCATTATCAAGCATCCAATGGACCTTGGGTACCATCAAGTCGAGGCTGAACAAGAATTGGTACAAGTCTCCGAAAGAATTTGCGGAGGATGTGAGACTTACATTTCACAATGCCATGACCTATAACCCCCCAGGGCAGGATGTTCATGTAATGGCAGAGCAGTTATCCAGAATATTTGAGGACAGGTGGGCCATCATAGAGTCAGATTACAATCGTGAGCTGAGGTTTGGATATGATTATGGGGTTAATCTTCCAACTCCTACACCAAGAAAGGCACCTCCACTGCTACCACCTCATCTTGATATGCGAAGGATTTTGGACAGGTCTGAGTCCATTTCTCGTCACGCTGATCCGAAGCCTAAATCCATGACTATTACTCCTAGGACCCCCGCTCCTAAGAAGCCTAAAGCTAAAGATCCTCATAAAAGGGACATGACTTATGAAGAAAAGCAAAAGCTCAGCACACAACTCCAGAGTTTACCTTCAGAGAAGCTGGATGCCATTATACAGATTATAAAGAGGAGGAATTCGGCACTTTTCCATCATGATGATGAAATTGAAGTGGACATAGATAGCGTTGATACCGAGACCCTGTGGGAGCTGGACAGGTTTGTAACCAATTACAAGAAGAGTTTGAGCAAACACAAGCGAAAAGCTGAAATGCAAGCCAGAGCAGAAGCTGAGCAGAATGTCCAGCAGCAGGTATGTCTTGACTCATGCTACATTCTAACCTCTGATTCTTGTGGTAACGGCCGTTGGTAAATGATTAATTTTCTTTGTATTTTACAGACCCAGGCCCCAGTTGCAGCAGAGGTTTTGAAACAACCCAAGACAGGTAAAATATTTCAGAATGCGATGTTTCATGGCATTGGAATCGGTGATTTCCTTGGAGAAACTGATAAATTGAAACTCGTTCCTTTTTTGAGCAGATGGAAGGATTATTTCCTCTTCAACACCCATTCAAGGGGATAACCAGGGTGATAATAGAAGTAGGTCGAGTAGTTCAAGCAGCTCTAGCAGTGATTCTGGATCTTCCTCAAGTGGTACTATAATACATTTTTGTGCTCGTAGATGTAAAGTTATTTCACAGATTGCTGAGCATATGGTGTGCAATTATGCAAGTTCTTGTTTAGTAAAGTAGTTTCTTTTTCTTGCCGTGTTGCTGCAGACTCAGATAGTGATAGTTCGTCAGCATCTGGATCAGATGCAGGTTCGCCTAGGACTTAACTATTTTCTTTTGAGGTAAGATTCTATCAACTTGATTCTTGTTCCAAGCATTTTGCAGTTTTTGTTCTTCCTTGTTATGTAATCAAGTGCGTTTATAGTGTTTAGTTGGGGTTGTAAACTACATCATTTGACTGAAGTGATATTATCAATGACATTAAACTTGACCAACATTTTGCAGTAGCTGCCCCATTATTTTAATTTTTATTGGTTTGGAAGCAGATGTGTAGGTTCTTATGTTATGTATGGACCAGACTATTTATTAGTATTGATGCATGATTCACCTTGGAGCTGTGAATGGTGGAATATGTTGTAAAAGAACTCTAGATGATAGCACAAAATGTGTCATTCATGAGGGGTTGCTTACTTTTTCTTGCTACAGGGTGAAGCTGTTATATATATATATGTGTGTGTGTGTGTGCGTAATTGCAATAAGTATTATATACATTGGAAGTATTAGTACTTAAAACGGTCAGTGTGCTTTAAATTTCTCTCCAAAACATTTCTCAAAATTCAAATTTTTTTCCTTTTGAAGATAACGTTTCTTCTTCAATCACTTGTCATTGAAGAAGATGAGGAGCAAGTATATTCCTACGTGTTGTACCCCCTTGCCTGCTTACTTGTTCACCCCCACCTTTAGTCGTTGACGTTTAAGATTTTTGAATGACATCTATATAAATAAAACTCAAACTCTTTGTTTTCAATTGCTATATAGATGTGTAGCAATTTAAATTACTGCCAGGGTCAACATTTTCGGAATTTTCTTTCACTTTCCAGCTTGTTTCAAATATGAAGAGAGTTTTATAACAAAAATAGGGAAATGGTTGCACACACCTGTTTATCTATGTTCATTGATTCTTCCTTAGGTTCTTCAATGGAAGGCCATAAATAAACAGGGGTCTGTAGGAGAAGAAAAATGGTGCGTGGAAATTGCTCATAGAACAGAATTTGGAGAGAGGAAGGGGGTGAGAAGAGAGAAGGAGATGGAGTTGGCGTGTGGGAGCAGGAAATCACACAGTTTTTACTGAGAGTGAAATTAAAATTCTCTTTTTAATTTTCGACTGAGGTTTTACTGAGTGGAAACCAAAACATTAATGACAGATTTAATTGTTGATTCCAATTTAGATTAATCCTTTTAATAGTCTTTGCATTACCATATGCATTCTTGTTAAACATGAAGTTGAGGGTTGCGTATATACCGGCTGTATACATGTGTTGCTTGTAAAGCCTGCCATGTCAAAGTAGTTCTATCTTCTTGAGTTAGAAAGTGCTGTTCAAGTTTACCACTTACTATTAGTTTTTGTTGTAACAATCACATCTGGTATCAAATATCATCTCATATTTTCACCCAGTGACTCTCCCTCTCTAGAAATTTTAAGGAATGTATCACCACTCCAACTGTCCTTGTCCCCAGAATAAAAATCTTGATGTTGCTCAATGGGAGATTGTGTTTCTGCTCTTTGGTCCTTTTCCCGCCAAATTTTCTAGTACATTCTAAGGCTGTTTTATTTAAAAAGAAAGGTTCAGCGTACAGAGTCCCTTCAGTGTACATCAGCCCACTACCTGTATACAGCGTTCATTTCTGTTTAGGGAGTAAGGTCAAAGATTTTTGTAAGAAATAAAAAGCTGGAATCCTAGAAGACATGACTCCCTAAGAGTGTCCTGTAAACCAGATATTTGATCTGGGGATCCCAGCAAGACTGCCAAACAAGTTACTACTGAGCTCAACTAGCCCTTTAACTAATAGATGCTGTGTATCTCACCAGTGAGAATGTGTCCACTGGAAATGGGTCTGAAATGTCTTGGTTGTTTTTGTCGTTTCTATTCCAGTCACCATAGTATGGTGGTTATCTACTGTTTTCCTGGTAGGGAAGGATTATTTCAAAGAAGTTAGTAAGATGGATCATTTTTGTTTGTGTATTGGGTCATGAGCTTGCAGTACCGAGCAAGTCATGCTTGACTTTTGTTTGTTGCATATTTCTGCTTTCCCTGTTTTTGTATAGCGCAAGTCTATGCAACAATTACAAGGCAAGCTATAAGGGAATACCCTGCCTTTCTCCTGGGAGAGGGTGTCAACACTAGATCAGTTAAGTGAGCAAGTCAGGGTTCGAGTAATTTGATCACATTTAAGCTTTGCATAAGTGCATGTTTCATAGATTTTTTTGCTTTACAGGCCATGTGTGACCTTACTCAGCCCTTTTTTACATCAGTTTTGTTTGTTCTTATTTGTGCCCTTGGGCTTTCATATACTCTATAGTTTTATAGCACATACATACTTAAAAAGTAAATCTTTTCATGTCGTATATTAGGTGAAACTTGAAATGAGTTCTCTCCTGCTTTTTGTTTGGACTTTGATGGATGGTTGGGCATGCAGTGTAATTTTTGCGGTGAAGAGAATAGATGCAACCTTGTTAATATATGATCTGGCATCTTATTAATTTGGATTACAAATGATTGCTATTTGTAATGGTTGATGGAAGCAACTATGTAACTGAATTACTAATGACGATTATCTTAAATGGCAGATCTCTGAAAATTAGGGTAGATGGTGATTGGAAGCTTTTCAGACAAATTTTCGAATTGAATCTGCGATTGGTGTATAGTGGAAATTTTCTCCAAGGCCTCCAACCATCGTGCAAGTATAGAATGGGGTTCTCTTCTCTCTCATCCGTTGGTCTTGTTAGAATTTGTATAATATTGGTAGAATGTGGTGATAAATAGATACAGTTGGGTCTGTTTTGCATAGCACATGTACATTGCTAAGTACTGCGAGTCTGCGACCCGTCTAAATTTGGATGACTTGTTTTTTGGTTTGGTGCTGACAGATTGAGGATGCTTTGGTGGATACAAAATTAGATAGCCTGTAAACCAACTTCATTCATATGAATTCTCTTGTATTCCCATGAGATTGCTATGTTTGGTAGATTTGTATGCACTTTGCAGTTGTAGAATCTCACCAATATCAGGAGTAAGACTCCGAATAACTGCTACACTCTTTCTTTCTCTCTTCTTTAATGCTTTGTTAGTGTTGGAAAGAACCGGAAGTCGTTTTTAATTTTTCTTTTGGTTCGTCCGCGGATGAATTGTTCATGGTGTAGCAATATTACAGGGCTTAAACAAGCTTCATACTTGTGTGTGTGATTTTCTGGTTGATTTGGTTGTCATTTGGAAATTGGTATTTCTCTTGTGAGGCTGGCTAGCTCAGTAGTCGACCAAATTTTGCCCCTTGGATTATTCAGGGAGGCTACGGTGAGAGGGAGGGGTAGGGGTGGGGTTTACGGACCAGTTTCGATGTTGGTGATTGCACAATCGGGTTGAAGAAACCGTCCAAGTATTTGGATTTGAGAACGAGGGTGATATTCCCACACCTTTTATATTTTTTCACATAACTCTCTTTAGCCGTCGGATTAAATAAATCAACTAAGTTGTATTTTTCGTGTTTGTGTCAAATCTGTTATTTTAACATGTCATGTCTTGATCCAAAATCTATTATTTTTGTGTCGTGTTAATGAGTTGTACATGAAATTGTGAGATCTATCATTATCATGTGAATGGGAAATTGATTTCCAAGTTTGGCTATTGCGCTCATGAGAGAGAGCGACAAAATTAGGAGCTTCGGAATAGACGGGGGTTAGCGATGGCCAGGTTTGGCTACATGGGTGTGATTACATATAGTTCAAATGAACCACTCTGGGATCTCAACGTGTACAGTAATGAATTATCTCCAAGATCATGCCTAACCAAGAAACTCATAGCTTGAGATTCATTGTTACTACGATTAATCTAATTTAAGCATCGGAGAACATTTGGCTCACACTACATCGGTGCGACGTCTCACTTGTCTTTTCTTTCTTGGTTGTAGAGAAGCCATGATAGATGAGGCTATTCAGGTGAGATTCAATGTAGCTCTAACTTTTTATTCATTTGTAGGATTTAGGCGGTCCACAAGGGGCTACTCTTGTGTGGAATTCAAGGCTCTCACTTTCAAGATATTGAATCATACAATTTTTTTAGCAAGTACTAAAAGAATATATATATATATCATAACTTCATGTTAAAGGTGCATTTGTTTACTTGTAAGTGAGAGATCTTAGGTTCGATTCTTGCTATAGGCGAATTGAATCACTTCGATCATCCTAGATTGAAATAGCATAAACTTGAATATACTATAGATGGTGAAGGAAAACTTATGTGAAATTAGAGAATCATTTGAAAACTTATGTTGTTAACATGCAGACTCAAAAATAAAAGCTAGAATAGCTCAATTGTTCATCATGCAGATCCTCTATGTACCTTCCAATTTTCTTGATTGGATTACTGGGTTATCAAATCCTAATGATGATCAGGATGTGTCTTCTCTTGGCAAGGCTTTACTTCGTGTGAGATCGAAGACGGGATGCTTACCACTACAAAATTGCTGTCCACAATAGTTTAGACAAATTGGATTGAAATTACGAGGTGCTAATTAACACTAGTAATCTTGTCGGCTATTTTCCTGTAGTTCGGTATTTTTCTTATCTTGGGTTTTCTGTTAACTTTCGTTCCCAGTACGTTTAACTTGGATGAACACTTTATCCTTCAATTTCAACTAGTTTTTTTATTTTATTTTAAAATTCTAATATTTTAGTATCGCAGGTGTATTATCTAATGGTTGTATTCTTGCTTACAAGCGAAGTAATAAATTTGCTTAACTTAAAAATGATCTGCTGTTATATTATTTTCAAACTAAATTATATTTTATTTTATGAGCGTTGTTATTCCCACCTCAATGTCTTATATTCCAACCTACCTTTTAATAATTTTTTTAAAGGAAAACTAACGAAAAATCCAAAAAAACTTCCCTTTTAATGAAAAGCCCTTTATAAAGGTACAGTGAATAGTACCAGTGAAAGGTATAAATGTGGTTTTTTGTTAAAAGTGAACAGCATCGGGAGTGTTTTGTTAAAACTCCCATTTTTTAATCACAAATTTGTTCATTTGTAAAATAACTAACAAGGACCTTAGTTACCTCCTTTTGCGTTTTTTTTTTTTTTTTTCTAAAAACAAAAGTTCGGGCGTAATAACTCTCTTGTTTAAACGATTTGTCTCCCTCAAACCCTAACTCATCGTCTCATCTCCTTTCATTCAGAGAAAGCAAAAAGAATAAACTTAGTTTAGTTTTGGTGTGATAACTCTCACACTTTGTTTAGACGATTTGTCTTAATATAAAACAATAATGTATTTTTCTTATGTTAGATGAAGCAGATGAAATTCTATCATGACCATATCCTTAGTTTTATATATTATTTGTTTATGTTCTTTTTTTAAAGAGACAAGTTTATAATTATATATATCTATTAAGAGATATTTTAGGAATAATAGTGCGTGGGAAAATAATATTTTAATTTTTTTTAACTTTTTACAATGGGTGTAAATATAACGTAAGTGGGAAAATAAGACAATGAAGTGAGTCTAGTAGCGTTTACTGGAGCCTGTCGTTGTTGCATTAGCTAGTTTGGAGTTCAAATTTGTATGTGCCGTTTGCGGTCAAAACTTCATATGGTTGATTGAACAATACTTGGAAATTTCTCACTGTTCAATATTAAAAAAAGAAAAAAAAAAAAAAAAAAAAGAGAAACATGCCATCAAGTTCCAAAGGCCTAGACCTTTAGATTTTGGTTTCAAATGGTGGATGTCAATGTGCGTGATGATGCTATATTATAATCGTACAATATGGATATCAATGTGCCAAGATTGGTACACTTTAAACGATTTGACTGCGGGCCCTATTTGAAATTTCCTCTAAGAGCTCAACTGTGTGCTGCTCCACCGTGAAAGTGGCTCCTCCAATGGAGATCGACGTTCGACTTAGTGCTATCAGGTGGTCGGTTAAAAGGGTTTTTGTTGATTCCATTAAAATTTAGTCGGGTTTGAAACACTTTTATTGAGTATCAATAAACGACATTTCAGCATTGGTTAATTAGTGAGGGTGTCATGTCATACTAAAGTTGTTAGGTTGTTAAAAAGATTAGTTAGTTTGTTGAAAGTTTTAAGTGAAATATACGTGTGGATAAAAGTTTTGTAATTGTGAGGATCCAATTCATTATGTTTGAACTACAATTCATACAGTTTACTTATTTTCTCTCTCTCTCTCAATTGTTTCTCCCTCAAATTCTTCATTTTCCTACAATCCTTATTGCTCTTTGATTCTTTCTCAATGTAATTAATAACTTTAACCAATGAAAATAATTTTATGAGACAATCGGTGATAAGACCAGAATAATCAAACTAGTTCATAAGGAATTGTAATCTAATCAAATACTCATATGAAGACAAGCAAAGTGGTCATCTTTTTCTTTGAAATGATTATCTCTGATGATTGTTATCATGTTATATTTTGTGCGCAGAGAGAGATATAAATCAACAAATCAAAAAGGGTCTAATACATTAACTAGAATATACACCTCGATAAAAAAAATAGCCGACAAAATTAAACTAATGAATATAAACGACAAAAAAAGAAGTTTTATGAATCACTGAGTAAGAATCCATACAACAAACTGAAACCGTTGGAATTATTTTTCATAATCCATGAGATTTGAGATTTATTCCAAATCAGTAATCGGACCCATGTGGCAATGAGCATATTAAAATATAAAAATGATATCCTGCAAGTAAAAAAAAAAAAACTAGGTAGCAAATCTTTTGCAGTTTTGGATTATGGGGGATCGTATTTATACAGTAATCTTGTTGGATTTATTGCTTATTTTTTTCTGTCTCAATTTTAAATCAATAATGTACAAGCGTGGAAATAAATAATAGCAGATGATGACTAAGCTGCACCTTGTCCTGTCGATCGTTTTGGGGAGGGGAGGCCGAGAACGAGAAGGGGCATTGTAAAATTAGGATACAGAGAGGACAAAACAAAAGCTAAAGGGAGAGTCAAAAGAAGAAAAACACCGATAATCCACAGCTAAAAGCTACACCATGTATGACTAGATGACCAAGTGGTGATGCCAATTTGTCGTTCAATTAATACAACCATAATATGTTTTATCCTCGACCCACTATACTTAATCTCCCTATAAATTAGGGCTACTCAATACCATTTGAGCTACTCTCGATCATTCAGTCCCTCCCTTAATTTCCTCTACTAATTTTCATTTGCTAATTATCCCCATTATAACAGCAGCTCTATACCTAGCAGAGCAAATGGCACGTCTCACATTACTGATACTCGTCTTGGTGATCTTCTTAGGTTTACTGATCGCTGCCGACGGCCGGCAAATTGTTGAAGGGCAGCAGCAAGCCTTGCATGCACGACCACAAGGCCTGCTAGACAGCCGACGTCTTTTGCAGCAGTTGGTTGCGCATTATCATGGAAGAGTGCAATTGGATTCTAGTACTGATAGACGCGTACCAGGAGGACCAGATTCTCAGCATCACTAATATATTGATCGATCCAATATATGGTGGTGTTTTATGATAACTAAAAAAATGGGAGTGTTTGTTTTTAATTTTTTTAATTTTTATTTGAGAGCAGAAATTGGCTATTATAAGTTTTTAGAAAGTCTCAACTAGCTTATAGTCTAGTAACACTTCTCGTTTCAATGTTCGAAAAACTCGTGTTTAAATTATCATCATGAAATAAAAACAAAGCTCCTACAAGGAATACCTAATGCTTTGAGTACTTTTTATACTCGTTTAAAATAAATTTAAAATGCCGACTGGCAGGGTGAGGCAACAAAAGTTTTACTTTAATTTCCACCTTCTATATCCAATTCCAAACCAACCCAAGTGGTCAGGGAAGATTCAAGTGTCAAATCTGAAAAAAAAAGCTGCGTACTTTGTCTACTTTTTAATCTCAAAAGTCAAATCCTATAAAGGAAAGAAATCAAATCTTCATTTGTCGCTTTAGATGCAGCTTATATATATCTAACATTTGCTTCTTCTTTTATCATTTTAATTTGAAACAAAGGTATGCTCTACCTTGGTTGTAGCTTTAGATACAAA